TGCATTAATAAACAGTACTTTACGCATAAAAAGTGGTTTTTAAGAGTTTTTGTCAAATGATTTATAATATAAAATATACTTTTTATATATATAATTTAATTTAAGTTTAATAATAAAATAATTTATTGTTGGTTTAATCTTATAAATTATAAAGATAATAATTAAGTATTTTGTTAGAATTTAATAATTATACTAATTATATTTTAGATTTTTTATATTTAAAATGAGATGTTTATCTTGTATTTGATTGTGTTTATTTGCAGTTAGTTACACGAATTCAGATATGGGATGAAATMRGATAGGGATGAACGGGTTTAAGAGTTTTTAAGAGTTTTAGCCAAATGTTTTATAAGATAGTATAGATTAAGTGAAATTTAAAAATAATAAACAATCGAATTTTTACTAGTCGGTTAATGTAAATTTTTAGGTTAAAAAAATATAGATAACCAATTATTATAAGTGCGATGGTTTATTTATTAAATAAATGTTCAGAGATTTAATCAATCAAAATGAAAAAGTTTAATGATTTTTTCATTCAAAATGAGAAAGTTTACTTGTTTTTTCATTCAAAAAAATAGTTTAAAAACTTAATCATTCACAATGAAAAAGTTTAATGATCTTTTTCATTTAAAAATATAGTTTATGGACTAAACTCATTCAAACCCAAGATTCCTTTTAGAAGCTTGGGCTTTTTGTATAAAGATTCATTTTAGAAGCTTATTGAATAAGCCACTTTTCATATAATTAAGTTACTACCAAACAATCATGTATTACTTGTCGAATAAGCTGTGAGCCCCGTTAAATTCATTAAACTGTTAACAAACAAGACCTAAATCAGGTACAATCTAAACAACAAAAGACTAATGAAGTGTTTGGTTAGTTTTTCATTAAATCATGTATAGATAAAGCGGTGTAGATTAATTTCTCTGTATAAATTGAGAATATTTTTTTTTGGAGACTTTTTTCCATAGATGGAAAAAACATGTTTCTCATTAGGAGGGACATGGGTGGAAAAAAAAACTTGGCTTTTTTGTATAAATATTTTTTTTAGAAGCTTATTGAATAAACCATTTTTCATATAATTAAGCCACTACCAAACAATCATGTATTATTTCCTGAATAAGCTGTGAACCCCATTAAGTTCATTAAGCTCTTAACAAACAAGACCTAAATCAGGTACAATTTTTAATGCACAACATACAAACAAACACTAGCCGAAATGAGAAAACATGAGAGGATGCTTGTACTACTCCCATAGCTGTTTATCATCATCATATCATGAACATGAAGTACAACAATATATGCAGAAGGTACTCACCGACAAAGCGTCTCAAACTGGTTGAGATTGGGGTCTTCCGAGCTGAATTTCTTCGCCGGCGTTGGGGTAAACCACCGTCTCCCCCGTATAAGCACCCAAATAAGTCGATAAGCTCAGCTTATCAATGGCTTCCCGATGATGAGATTTGCAGACGAGATAAAGCACCGTCTGTGTGACGAAGAAAAGAAGGAACAACATCACCAGTAACAACCCACATAAGATTCCCATCATCACCCTCCACACCATCGCCCATCTGAAGATTTCATCTCCATATTCAACAAACAATTCGTACACGACAACAATTCCCACCAAAATTACATACAAAACGAATGCAATCCCCATTCCCAATTTCTTCTTCCCTTTCATCAGATCCTTGCCCTTTTTCATCGCTTTAAGTCCATGGCTGTTTTCCAGAACGGTAACCACACTTGCCAATTGCCAAACAACGCTAAGGTATAAGAAACCGAAAAGGTAGACGATGAGGATGATCAGCAAAAGGATTGAACCAAGGACTGAGAATCCTAAAATGGATCTGCATATAACCATGGCGCCACCGCCGATGATGTTGTAGAAGAAGAGGGCGAGATAGATATCGACGAAAGTGACGAAGAGACGTTTCCAAACCTTCGGAACAACTTTCATTACCTTTTTGTAGACGACTTCCCTGCCGGTGTAAACTGAGGCGATTGTGAAGACGACGGCGGCGGTGGAGAGGAGGGAGAAGACGGTGAGGATTGTGAAATAGATGATCTTGAATAGCCAGTAGTAGAGCCAATCTTTGATGGTTGCTCGATTTCGATTCGTATCAGGATCAACCAACAATGCATTGCTCTCGATTTTCCAGAACAGAAAATGGGAAATCACCATGTGAGCGAAGAAGACGATTGTGAGAGGAAGGATTAAAGTGAGAGTGATTTGAGCGAAGATCTTCTTCAAGGAGAAGATGGTTTTGAACGATTGTTTGAAGATGCCGAAGAATCCCACGAATCTCATCTCTTCTTCGCTTCGATCCATGGTGGTTTCTGTTTGATTATTGCAGGTGGAAGTGGAACAAAGTGGTGGTGTCTGAAAAGAGAGTGTTGGATTTTTTTTTATTTGGACGGAATTGCCCTTCATATGTTTACGGTATTTACGACAGAGCCATGCCTATCTTTATTTGGTCCCATTTTGATTTCCCATTAATTTGAAAGGAAATTTCCAGCTAAATAAAATACATTTTTAATAATAAAATAAAATAGGAGAAAATACTCTTTTTTTTCTGGTCTCCTAACCATTCATTTCCTTGATTTATCCAAATATCATTACCTCTACAAGTCCCATGTCAGCCACTTGCTAAAAGACAAAATAAAATCAAATTATAGACCTGGCCCGTTGCAATTGCGAACCTAAATCAAAATCTGATAAATTTTTTTTGTCTTTTAGCTGGGTCAGCATGTGGCAGAAGTGGGACTTGTGGATATAGTTATATTTTGGTAAATAATGGAGAAGAAATGACTAAAAGACCAATTTATACAAGAGAAATGGTTATTTTGGTCAATCTCCCTAAAATCTATACTATATTATAAAACATTTAACAAAAACATGTTAAAAATCGTTTTTTATGCATAAAGTACTGTATATTGATGCATATTACTTAAAATTCAAGATTACAAGTAAATTATGCATAAGTATAACTTATTAAAGCTCCATGTTTGAATTCGAGTAACTAACTGCGGATAAACATAATCAAATACAGAATAAACATCTTATTTTAAAATTTAAAAAATCTAAAGTATAATTAGAATAATTATCGAGTTTTAATAAAATAATTAATAATGATCTTTATAAGAAAATTATATTATTAAACCAAAAACTTCAATTAAATTATCTTCAAATTTATATGTTATTCAAAAATAAAAACATCATTACCTTTTCAAAATCACATAAAACCATATTATAACATCGACTGAGATAAAGAATAAAATGAAATATTAAAATCAATATGTATATCGTTACATTGCACGAATACTCTTCTAGTAAAATAAAATAATGAATGAGCAATTAAGGGTATCAGTCTGTATCAAACCAAACCGATTAATTATACATTATTCATGCCAATTGAACTAAAACTAAAACGATTAATATATGTAATGATTGTACTAACTAAATACTTATTTAATCAGTATCTATTGTAATTGGTTGGTAGTACCATATTAAGTATAAAAACTCGACTGGTATACGGTATTCGAAATCGCATACCACCATATTATCATGATATCAAATTATTTATTAAATATGACATATGTTATTTGCCAACTCGAAATTTGAACAAAATTGAGATTTTTTTATATATGTAACTTGAAGATGAAACAAAATTAATACGAACATGTACCAATCGAAAACAAATGGTACCAACTTAAGGATGATTAGTACGTAGTACATGGTATATAATTTAACGTACCAATTATAATTGATTGGTACATATTATTGTATAAAAAAACTTGATGTCGTACCAAGTCTGTTAGAACCAATGTTATTGAACTAGAAAATCCACAAATTAGTGTATATATTAAGTACAAAAGATGGAACAGAACCAAGAAAACGTGTATGCGCATATATGATATATATATATATATATATATTCTTATCAGACCGAAATACTAACTTGAAAATGACATTTGCTTGAAGATTGGATATAGGCCTGCTAAGCAGTGTCCTTAAACAGAATTTCACCCCTGCTCATGCAGTGGTATCGAGCGTCCATTTAGAGGATTCAAGTACCTATTCAGTTCTTGCAAGAGAACTCGAATCTGTCTAGTTTCCTTGTATGGTCATGGATCGATATTAGAGAGATAAACAAGAGAAAAGGTGGAAAAAGAGAATTCTCATAAAAATATGGAGGGAAACATTAAAATATATACTTTTGGTGGTTAAACCAAATTTCGATCTGTATCAAAAAGTTCTATCTTTTGACATTTAAACGTACGTCAAGCTTCTCTCACAAGCCCAATCCAAGTTCCTTTATTGAGCTTTTTCTCTAATTAGATAAGCTTTATAGCACTAGTCTTGTAAGCTTATTAACTTTTCTCTTTGGTTCCTAGGTGGGATCAATTCCCTTAGTAAAATCCCAACGAAGTCAATCACAAGGGTGGTGCCTGATTGGTTTGATCTTGGCTCCAAAGGTCAAAAGTACGTCCTAGGTTCAAATCCAAGGATGAATAAAAATCTTCTTGTGGCCACGAAGGTTCAAATGCGGTGACTCCGGACTATCTGCAAAACATGTGGTCGTCCTGGGATTAGTCAACTCGCATAACGGGTTAGATATCCAGGTTAATCAAAAAAGAAAAGAAAAATCCCAACAAAGTCCACCCTTAATATAGGCTAAAACAACTTTATTTTGTTTATTCATGGATTTATAGGTTTTTAAGTGAGAGAGTCTTCTTTGTTAATTATCAGGTTTATAGAGAGTTTTTATTGTATCAGTATGGCTCAACGTTTATTTTGTACTTAATTATGTTTATTGATTGGTTTTATAAGCTCAAACGTATTAATAGTTGTACGTATGTTAATAATAAGTTGTAAATGTTGTATAGTATTACCATGTGAATATACTCATGATCAAAATTTTGAAACCAATATATATATATATATATATATATATATAGAGAGAGAGAGAGAGAGAGAGAGAGAGATAAATATTCATTTTAGAAGTGTTAAGTATTTGAGAAGTAAGAAGTGATCCAAACACTTCATCTGGTAAACATTTACGACTTTGACTATGAAGCACCGGATAATCCGTGCAAGGATATGCGGAAGATAGAGAAGTAATTATTTCGTAACTTTTACAAATAGGCAGCAAACGGTTTATATGTAAACCCGCATGATTCATATATGAACTATATGTTTATATGTGAACTTGTGAATTTGTTACATGTGAACCCACAGGTTCATGTGTGAATCAGTTAATTATTTCATATATGAATCAATTAATTAGTTTATATATGAATCACACGGTTTCATATGTGAATGAGTTAAAATAGTTTATATGTGAATCACAAGGGATCACATATGAACTAGAGTTTACATATATAATTTGCTATCTATTTGTAAAAACTACAAAACCAACCCCTCTATTTTTCATATAACTGCAATTATTGACCAGTCAAATCCGATCTTAACCGTATGTAGGGCTATTATCATTTCACTTCTTTACTTATCAAATATTTAACACTTCTCAAAATAACCTATATATATATATATATATAGGGTATATTT